CAAGTTAAGTAAAAATAAATGATTTAACGACATAAAAGCTTAGTAATTTGATCCAAATAAATGTACAAATTGCACTTATCTGCAGGGTAGTTTAAATCCAAGGATTGCGAAGAGAGTTTTGGCAAGTTCTGTTGGAGAATTTTTCAAAAACTACTAGTTGGGAGGGTTCCAGACCTTGTGTACACAGAAACTTAAAATAATCATGTGCTCCAATGTCATAAATCAAGCTATGGTCATATGGTGAGGAAGGTCCGGCTTTTGAGGCATCTATCAGAGGATTTTGGGTGTTGTCATGAGTATAGGCTGTTGTCATCAGTGCAGATTTAATTCCTACTGGACTCCAATCTGGGTGCTTAGACTTGAGCAATTCTGCAATGCCACTAACACGTGGGCATGATATGGAAGTTCCAGACAATATATTGAACTTGGTTCTCCGGTCGTCTGTAGGTAAACCCAACGGTCCCAAATCTCCAGTCCAAGCGGCAAGAATGTTCCCTCCCGGTGCCACCATCTTCAGAGTCTCTAGTGACACGATATTAGGTCCTCTGATGAAAAGCAGCCACCACTGGAGATGGCCTAATTCCTAGTTTGGTCCCAAGGAACGCCCGATTTGCAGTATCATTTGTTTTTGTTGTAGCATAATGCTTGATCAATCATGCCTACTTCTCTAGCATTTTTCACCACTTGACTCTTTTGAACTCGATGACTAATTCCACAATTGCAAATTATAATTTTTCTTGCTGTAAAATGACCCAGGGTTCCTTCTAAACACATTGAGCTTGGTGTGGGAATGGTCGAGTTAAATCCATGATAGATTAAATGGTCTGCTTTTTGGGGGAAAGGTTTCTTCAGCTTTTGTACAGTGAAACTCCTTTCAGGTATTCACCTGTCCCGGGCTTAATAGTAGCTGGGAAATCTCTATGCACTGTGCTGGCTCGAACAGTAGTGACCACGGAGAAACATTCACGAGGCTAGTGGGATCTGGTCCACCATTTCCTGTTGACCAGGAAACAAAAACTCCCTTCTCCATGGCCCCAAAATCTGCAATGGACAAACTGTCCCGATGATAAGATTAAACTCCACCACCTAAAGAGATGGACAAAACATTGATTCCATGAGCAACAGCTTGATCAACGGCAGAGAGAATGTCTGAGCTAAAGCACCATGCAACCCAGCAAACTTTATAAGCTGCAATCCTTGCTTCAGTGGCCATCCTTTGAACTGTACCATAAGCATAACCCAAAAGGTTTGCTGATGCAGTTTGTTATTAGTCCCATGGAATGTGTAGATTAGCTTGCCATGCGATTCCGGCCTCATCATGTTTCTTCAAGCTTTCCAAGTTAAATCTACTTCCCTTCCATTCATCAAAAAATGCATTCTCATTCCGCAGCCGTTATCTATCCCACATTATCCAAAAATCACACAAAATCAACACAATCCCGAGCTAAACAACCGATAGAAGTACAAAATTAACTGTCCCAATAAGCCCATAAATTACACTTGTCAAGTAACAGTTAACTGATATAAATCAACGTGGGCTACAATTCTCAGCCTTGAAGTAGAAGGCCATTAATAGAGGAAATCCAGAAGGTAAGGTATAATTTTCAGCCCAATCCATTTTGAAGCAATAATCCATAGTGGACCATTCCTAGATTTGGGTATTATTCTTTTCTAATTCCATTTTTAGTTTTTTAAAGAAAAAATTATATGGAACCGTGTTTTTAAGTTTTTATAATAAAAAATCAGATAATATAATGCTCAAAAGTCACAATCAGAACCAATAATGATGGATATTAAAGTTTATGCTGTAGTAAAATAATTGAAATTGTTGGAGAAAAATAATATACTTTACCATCATAAGGATCGTTCATGTTAGATCATCAAGAATTTATTAACAAAAAACAGAAGCGTACCTGAATCAGACATGATTATCGTAATGAAAAAGTTCTGTGGTTTTAGTCTTCCAAATCAACACGTTTCTTTGATTCTCTCTGAAGATGGGAGTCAGAATAGAATTGAACAGAACGTGTGATTCGGGGACCATAACCGTATATTTATACTAATTGTCCATTGATCCAATTCGGCACATCATGAAATTAGGAACAGACCCG